GGAGCCAGGGTTCACCCTCGGAGGAGCCAGGGTTCACCCACAGGGGAGCCAGGGTTCACCCGCGGAGGAGCCAGGGCTCACTCACAGGGGAGCCAGGGCTCACCCACTGGGCTATCAAACTTGGCAGCGTCTTCCACGTAGTTCTGACTTTAGAATCATGAAGGGTTCACGAGTATAGGGGCTGTGGAATGTTCCAATCTTAGATGGTCTTTTAATAAAAAAAACCCAGAGCCAGATATCAGGGTGAAAGTTGAAAGATCAGAGAAGCAGAACAGCCAGCGACTAGTTCTTACCACTATGAAATCTTCAACTTAAAGACAGTGAGTTCCTGTTTCCTCATGCCTTATATGCCCTTCTCTGCCCTGCCATATTACTTCCTGGGATTAAAGGTGTGTGTGCTACCATTGCCTGACCTCTATGTCTAATCTAGTGGCTGGCTCTGTCCTCAAGTAAATATATTAGGGTACACAACATATCACCACAGTGGAATCTTCCTCTGCTGTTAAAAAGAGCCATTGAGGCCAGGTATATGGCAGGGGAGTTCCAGTTTGGAGGTCCTGAGAGGCCACTGCATGAAGCTGTGAAAGTGGAGCCTGGATTGTGTTGCAGACCCAAGATGTTAGAAGTGCCAGAGCCATGAGAAATCTGCCAAGGGGAGTGTCCTGCTAGGTTTTATCTTGCTTTGGTCCAGTATTTCCTCATTATGCCCCCATTCCTCCCTTTTGGAATGGTAATATATAGCCTGTGCCATTGTAAATTGGAAATATGTAATTTGTCTTTTGATTTTATCAGAGATACAATAAAAGATTTCCTTGAGTCTCAGAAGAGACTCTGGACTTTTAAACTCTGTTGAGACTGTGAAAGACTATGAGTCTTTTGAAGTTGGACTAAAGACATTTTGCAGTATGACATGGCCACAAGCCTATTTGCATAAGAATGATCCCTGTAGGCTCATATGTTTGAGTACTTGTTCTACACAGTTGGTGGAACTGTTTGGGAAGGGTTAGGAGGTGTGGCCTTGTTGGAGGAGCTGCTCTCTGTCACTGGGACTAGTTTTGAACTTGCAAAAGACAACATTCCCAGTGTGCTCTCTGCTTCCTGTTTGAGTATCAAAATCTAAGCTGTCCTTATTCATGTCGCCATTCCTTTGTTCTGCTGTTGTGGTCTCTAACGTTCTGAACTGTGAGCCCCAAAGAAATTCTTTCTTTAGTAAGTTGCCTTGCTCATGGCATCTGATCATGATCATGATCACAGCAGTAGAAAGTAATTGAGAGACGCAGTGTGTGGGGAGAGAGCAGGAAAGGGACAGTTACTACCTCAGGCTTCCTGCTGTAAGGACAGCTTGAACAGTGAAAAGTCATGTTCTCCCAAGATGTTTAAAAACCTTTTCATTGTTTTCAGAATCAATGATGACTAATGGCTTTTTTTTCCCACTCTGAAGCTGACGCTCTGTTCATTCAGTCTTTTCCTTCCCTGATTTCTGTTTGGCTTGTCTATGTGCACTGAATCTGAAAGTCAGAATTTGCTTCTTATTTATGTTTGTTTGGTTACCTTGGGCTTTGTTCTTTTACTTTATTGTATCTTTTTACAGTTGTCTCTATTGAACCCATGTTGTCTTCATGTTTCTTTATTCTTTTTTTTGGTTAAAATGTCTGCTAAAGAAAAATATTTTGCTTTCTACTTGATTTCCTAGAAAAGTCAAGATTCAGAAAAGAAGTGGCTTGGAATTGTTTGTTTTCCTCTTGAACTGGTAACTGTTGTCTAAGAACGTATTGGTGCTTCCGAGACCCTCTTCTGCCTCCATCTCTCCCTCCCTGCCCTGATTACGGTGTTTGTCAGCTGTGTCCCATATTGGTACCCTGATTCCTTTGTAAATTCCAGTACAAACCCCAAGACAAACAGCCACAGTATCATGGCGAGTTGTTAGCTGGAATGAAAATGGAACTGTCCCAGCTCATGGTAAAATAGATTCAAAGGCTCACATGTTTATTTTTGCAGTTCTCCACCGTTATGTTGGAGACACACACTGTCTCTTCTTTAATTCAGCGTTCTTTCATAATTCTAATGAGAATGAAGAGATGAGACAGAAGTAGTAGTTCCTATAGATCCTGGACAAATCATTCATTTACACCACATGCAAGCTTTGGCTAGGAGACTAATGCTAAGTGCTAGGAGAGTAATGGTGAGGAGGGGGACAGCTATCTTTGCCTCAAGTAGCATGAGATACAGTCAGGGAGGCAGACTATCAAACAGAGAATTGTTTTCTGAAATGATGGGACATTGACATGGGGAATGCAGTTTGATGTGGGAGCACATTTGAGGAGCACCGAACCAGATGCAGAGAGAGACCAAACAGAGAGAACTATGGGAATTTTAAATGAGGCTGGAAAAGAATGCCAGCCGTCTACATAAAGAGTGAAAGAGTGGGCACAAGAGAGAGGCACGTTCACCGTGAACAGACTTCACTGTGGTTCTTCAGCTTCTGTGATACTCACTGACAAACCACCATAGCACTGTATCTCTGCCGTTCCATGCATCGAGCAACACAATTATTCACCAACATGGCTGTGTGAGGGCTTGACCAGTTCCCGGTGAAGAAAGAAGTTACAGACTCTAATATTCAATCATCAAAGTGTTCTGCTAGGGCTTTATGATGCTTTCCCCAAAATCTAGATACTTATCATAACTGTGCACATGCTCCCATGAATTCCTACAGCACCTTAGATGTCTGGGAGCACAGAAAAACAAATTAAGCATGTCCATAACCTAGGGGATTGTCTCCTTTATTCACACAGGGAATATTTGCTTACTATCTTAAAAAGTTGGAAAGATTAAAATATAAAATTAAAATCAACATTATGTTACTTTACAAATTAAAATTCTATTAACTTCTTGTAATTAATTCTGATTTTTTTATGTGTGATAATTTTTGTGCACAATTTTTTCATTTAAAATGTACACATTCCTGCTTTTAAAATGTGGAAAATGCAGAATAGTAGAAAGAAAAGTTAATTAAGAATTGTACTACTCAGGGGTTGAAGAGATGGCTCAGTGGTTAAGGGAACTGACTGTTCTTCCAGAGACCCTGGTTCAATTCCCAGCACCCATGTGGCAGCTCACAACTGTCTATAACTCCAGTTCCAGGGAACCCAACACCCTTGAATAGACATACATGTAAGCAAAACAACAATGCACATGAAATTTAAAAAAAGAAAAGGATTGTACAACACACAGTCATTGTTTAAAAATGATATTAATTTTAAAATTGTATTTACTCTTAAACATTCAGAACATTGACAAAATAACTCTTTTTGCCATTCAGGTTAAATTAAGCTGTAAGAACAATTACTTCATATAAGTCACACGAGCAAAAATAGAAGGTGAAAAAACTACACTCCTATATAACTGATTTGCACGTAAGCAAACAAGAACCTGTTTTAAAGGTCCAGGCCAGTTCAAAATAACTATATTCTACCAAGGTCAATGGCTATTGAAAATGCCAAAACAAGACTATCTGGAGGTGTAGTTGACAGTGTGTTAGCATTATGAGCTTATTAACTTGTCCTTCTAACTCATCAGACAGCTCCACCCAGGAGTACATAGCCCTATGCTGGAGAGCTTGAATATGGAAAAGTCCCATTGTTTTTAAGAAAGTTTTCTGACCTGTATCACTGTGGTCCTGGGTTCTCTTGAAATAGAGGTGGAGGGACAGAGAGGAAATAGGCCAAAGCCACAGGAACTCTTACGTAACTAAGTTCAGAATCCAGGATAATTCCAGTTGTGGAAAATGATCAGAATGCTACATGAAAATACAGACAGATTATTTATCTCAAGTTTTCTTTTGCTTTGTGGGACCTTTCACCCTCCTTCTTGGTCTCTTTTGGATACAGAAGCATAAGAGATAAATTTTGCTCCACATTTCCTCTACCCTGTTATCAGAATGCCAAGCTCTCTTTGTGTACACTCATAGTTGTTCTCAGTGCAGAGAGGAAGAGAAAGGCTGTAACTTGTTAAAAGGGCCATTGGGAATGAGCCCCTTTTTACGTGATCCAGAAAAAAGGACAAAACCTGACCGCCATTGCACCCTTTTTAAATCACCAAGCTCAGAGAACAGAAAAAGCCCCTGTCAATCTTCCTTTCAACCCCTAGCTGCCTTTGTGAAGTGGAAGCAGCCCTCAGGAAGAACTAAGTGGATGGTTTCCTCTAATCACACCTCCGTGATTCCCTAACCAGCATCCCAAACAGCAAAGACAGAAAGAACTTGATTATTGAAAGATAAGACATTGATATGCTAATATATTAGTTATTATACATTAGTAATGTTTATTCTTGCTATCAATAAAAATAAAACTAATTTTTTTCATTGCTTATATACTGTTTTAAATTCAGAAAATCTGTTTAGTATAATGGATGAAGATACTGGCTTGCATGATTAACTGGTCAGAGATTAATAACATATGTTAGTATAATATTAATACCAATAATGAAATGATAATACCATTCCCATTCATCATGGGAAACATAACAGAGCCCATCTCCTTTAGAGGGTTTGACATCATATGGCTAATTAATGTTCTCTAATTGTACAAGAACATATTCTTCTCAGGGAATTTTCATTCTCAGGGCTGACTTCTTTGCTAATTCTGCTTGCAGTGCGAAGGTAGCTGACAGAACCTAGTCTCCCCAGGTGTTATCAGGGCCTGTTGAGATCAAAGACTCACTGACCTGGTTACAATGCTGATCCCTAAATCTGATCAGCATATTGATGTCCAAAGACATGAAAAAAATTGTCCTTTTAGGTCTTATTCTGGATGATCAAAACCTAAACAAACAAACAAAAAGAACCTAAAATCCAGCCCCAAACCCATCAAAACAGAAGAGCGAACCTTAGTGAATGTTACCGTGTAAAATTACCAAGATTTAAAAATTATCAGTGATCGATTTATTGTAGCTTATTTGTGCCGTGTACATAAGTAAATATCTTTTTTTTTTTTAACTAGGGGCTGGGGAAAAAGCTTGATAAAGCAGCTGCCGTACAAGTGTGAGGCACAAGTTCAGACGCCCATCACCACGTACGTAAAACACAAAATTGGGCGTGGCAGCCTGCATTTGTAACCCCGGTGACGGCAGGGCTACAGAGGCAGGTCCAGGGATTGACCACCTAGACTAGTGAGACAGTGATTTCCAGGTTCATGGACAGACCCTGTCCCTTCAAAAATGAGATGGGGAGCAAGAGAGAGACAAGAGATACCTTCCTCTAGCCCCCCTCACACACAAGGACAAGCACAATCCACATACATGCATGCATACATACATAAGTGTAAAGATTATAAAACTGTGGTATTTGGTGTCTTTAGGGTAAAAGGTTATATGCAACTTACCCTTAGTTAGAAAAAAAACTGTGGTTCTCTGCTGTCTGGACAGAATGTGACTAAGCAAGAGAGTCCAAGGTTCAGACAAGGAAAGGGGCCAATGCAATGGGTATGGATTCATGCAATATTTCTTAGATTTGATACTCTTCAGAGACTCAAACAAATGGTCCACCAGGCAACACATGGTATCTTAAATTTTATGAAAATCAAAACTTTCAAGAATATACAAATTTAGAGGAAAAATAAAAATAATTTTATACCTTTACCTGTTAAAATGTACTATTGTTTTGTCATTTGAGACTAGACTACCTTCAAAAGTATAGAGTATCCGTTGCACCTTCCATCTTTCAGAAGCTGCGCAAAATCCCTTGGGCAAAGATCTCCAGCCTACAGAGTTTCCCATCCTGCCACCTTCCTTCCTCGAGGAACACACTTTTCCACCTCAGATTTCCAGGGTTGTCCAGCACTTGGGGAGTTCCGAAGCTCTGGGTGAAGTTCTGAACTATTCTCTGGCCAGCTTTGAAGTGGAATTTGAAGAAACACTCAGCATATCACATACAAGGAATACGCCTGACAGGAGTAACCACACTTATGCTGTTACGTTCTGTATAACAGCATTTACAAACACCTAAAGCAACTGTAAATGTTCTTACAACTTCATGTCTCTATGCACATGTTTTCTAATTATAGATGAGAACCTGGCTGTAATTCTGACACATCTAAGAGATCTGGGACTGTAGTTAAATATTGTTGGTGGAAGACACATTTTAATCTTTTATTGTTGTTTCAAAATACAGTGACAAGCTCATGGATCATAAGAAGCTGATGTCTAAGGACTCGTAACTCACAGAGTGGAAGAGTCACCACCTCAAGTGTCTGCTGACTGGATGCAAGGAACTAATCAAATCCCTGAGGAATTAGCTGAAAGTGTATGCAATCTCTCCTGTTCCTGGTTTGCAACCTACCTTATCAGATTAAGTAATGAATTCCTAAAAATCCTGGCCAATTCTGAAAGCCCATACTTGAATTGTATATTAAACCTGAGCTGGGGAGATAGCTCAGTCTGCAAAGTGCTTGTCACGTGAGCATGAGGAACCGAGTTTGATCCCTGTAACAAGTACAGTAAGAGGAGTATAGTGGGCACATATTTGTAATACCAGCACAGGAGGGGTGAGGACAATTGGATCCATGGGGCTTGTTGACCTAATCAGTGAGCCCAAGGTCCCACTGGGAGACCTAGTATCGGCAAACAAGGTAGACAGCTATTGTTCTGTCAAGACACAATGCCCAGTGTTGTCCTCTGACCTTCACACACACACCTGCACACATGAATAGGAACACACATAAAACATAAATCCTATGCTAAATCTATACTAATAAATGCTATATCTTTCAGGATTGGAGTGGAGCACCTTAATTAGTAGTGTGTTCGTGTGTGGATATGGATATAGGTGTCCACATAAATCAGCATACAAACATAGACAGAAAGGCTGAATATGTCCCAAGTCTGTAAAGCACACACAAAAACACCCTGAGCAGACAAGAGTTCTACAGTCACCAGTGGCAACTTGCTGCTTGCAGGCTATTGAAAGGGAACATCTTAGGTATATTTAGCTTGAGCCAAAGCTTCCTGTCCACAAGCAGCAACTAGGACGGCAGATTCAGAGGAGAAGGAAGGGCATTCCAGATGTAACATGGCCCAAGCTCATGGGAGTCATAGATGAAGGGTTCTAGCAGGCCAGAGCATGGCAAACACAGGCCTGAGCATGGTAAACATGGGAGCAGTTGGTTTTGCCCATTCCTATGGTGATATTTTATTTGTATTAAAATATTATTTGTATGTTAATAAATAAAGTTGCCCGGGGGTCAGAGCTATTAGCAAGCCATAGGAAAGCAGGGCAGTGGTAGCGTACGCTTGTAATTCCAGCACTTGGTAGGCAGAGCTGGGTAAGTCTCTGTGTGTTCAGGGATACAGCCATTATTGGATACACATGCTTTTAATCTTAATACCAATCATGGAAAACCTGGAGGCCTATACAGACAGGCTGTGAGGAGGCGGTCATGTGGTTGGGTTTACAACCAATGAGAAGGCAGGACAGGAACTCTATATAAAGACTTTAACACAGGGGTAGCTCTGGTTCGGAGAGGTAGGACCACCGCAGGAGGAAGGGTAAGGTTTTAGCTCTTAGCTCTGACCTCTTGGCTTTCTTCTTTGCATTGGTTCTGTGTTTATTATTTAATAAGAAGGTTGGATACATCTACATTTGGCGCCCAACGTGGTGGCAAGAGTTTCCACCTAAAACCTGAGAAAAGATTCTAAAACGGAGCTAAAAACAGTTCCTAATTGTCTCTCTCAAATGAGCGGCAGCTGCTGGTTTGAGCTACTTGTGGGTTCCTAGCGTGCATGCTCGACCTGCCATATGGCAGGAATGAGGCCTCTGCAAGTAGCACATTAAGCTGAGTGGTGGATTTAGCCTTTGCTAGTACAAAACAAAAAAAGAGGTTTCTGGGCTACACGCTGCTTGGCTAAAAGCATAGACCCCCGATAGCTCCCAGAGCTGGCGGTAAACCATGGCCATGTTGGGAAGCTGAGGTGGGTGGATCCAGCAGCCACAGCTGCTGCAGTTTAAGGCAATAGATTCACAATAAGACAGATTCAGATGTAATAGTTTACAATGTGTGTAAAAGATACGTAGGCTTGAAAGAGACAAAAAAGATGATATATAGAGTTATAGAAATAAATACATAGTTTTAAAAAATAAAGTCTTTAAAGAGACAGTAAGGGTAGTATAAAAAATAAGCCACGTAAAAATGGATATTACACAGAGAATCTGCATTGTGTTGTCTTTGGGACTTTTAACTGCAGAAAAACATTTGATTGTAAAAGCTGTTGAGTTATGCCAAAATGTATATTTTAAAGGTACCTTGACTTCAAAATTTGAATATAAGGATATGTTGCTTTGGAAAGGAGACTCTGCTTTTGTTCCCACAGAAAGCCAGAGGCTATGGATTTGTTCCAGATTAAGATACATCAGGTTTGACCAGCCAAGACCCCCTGAAAGGTCTCTGATGACACCATGGCACAGATGATCCAACATCCAGAATGGTTTGAAGGCAACTGGCTCAGACGATACACCCTCATGGACTTTTCCATGATCCTAAAATTTTCTTTGTATCCCCATAAGATACAGCGCCCCCCTCCAGCAGGAAGTAGTAAGAGAAGCTACGCCCAAATTCCCAAATTATATGTAATTTTACTTTGTTAAGGTTAAGGTTAAAACCTTCCTTTTTTTTTTTTTTTTAAAAAAAAGGGGGGGAAGTGCTGTGGGATGTTCTGTATGTCAAATGTGTTGCTGATTAGTCAATAATTAAAACACTGATTGGCCATTGGCTAGGCAGGAAGTGTAGGCGGGACAAGGAGGAGAATAAAGCTGGAAAGTGGAAGGCTGAGTCAGAGAGACACTGCCAGCCGCCACGATGAGAAACAGCATGTGAAGATGCCGGTAAGCCACGAGCCATGTGGCAAGGTATAGATTTATAAAAATGGATTAATTTAAGCTGAAAGAACAGTTAGCAAGAAGCCTGCCATGGCCATACAGTTTGAAACCAATACAAGTCTCTGTGTTTACTTGGTCGGGTCTGACGGCTGTGGGACTGGCAGGTGAGAGAGATTTGCCCTGACTGTGGGCCAGGCAGGAAAACTCTAGCTACACATTCCTCTTCCTTCTCCCATGCTGAACCATTAGATCACACTCCTAAAGCTACCCACAAAGGTCTACACCTGTATCTGGTCACTTTGTTATGCCAGACTCATTCCTGAGACTGATCACCAAGGTGCAAGTATCAAAACATTGAAATCCAGCAATCAACATTCATTATCTGGACTAATCTAACTAAAATACCCAATCAGAACTTATTAACACATCCTGACTCATTCTAACATAGACCATCCCTTTTTCCTCTTAAAATCAACACATGCAAAGCTATTTGCTGCTGTTTCTGTCCAATTCAGATATAGCCACCTTGTCTCTTTGCCTTGCTTAATAAAGGCCCTCTTCGTGTTTGATTTGTACTTGGAAATTGGTGTTTGGGTGTGGTCTGTGCCTAATCCGGGTCCAGAGGGGGGCACCCTTCAGTATGTGGGTCCTCTCAGTAGATACTCTTTCAGCAAGCTCCTTCTATTACATAGAACCTGCCTAGAGTAGCCTTCCCATTGCTTAACTTGAAGACAACTGGTTTGGTACTTTAATCACATCTTTAAACTCATTTTATTGAGTACTTAGCATTATTTTTTTTGAAGACCCTTGGTATTTTACTTCTGACAAAACACAGCACAAAGGTTCATTAATTGATTGTCAGGTAAATAAGCCATGGCATGTTAATATGATGGAGTACTACTCCGTAATAAAAAGAGCGAACTTGTGTTTCATCCAGAACGTGGATGAGTAGGGAATACACGATGCTCAGTGAAAGAAGCCAGACTTGCAGCACATTAATAATTCTAATTACATGGTGTTCTACAAAAGGCAAAATGATAGTGACAACAAACAAGTGATTGGCTGTTGGTGTTAGGACGGGGGAGGTTATCCACCACAAGGTGACTGGGAGAAGTTCTGCACTGTCAGAACTAATCTGTATTTTGATTATGATATAGTTACACTCTGTATGTATTTGTCAAGACAAATGCAATTGCACACATACACATAATGAATTTTAATTATCTAAATGATATCTCAACCAAACTGATTCACAACGAAGATGGAGACGCTGAGATGAAGATATTCTGGAAGGTGAGAGCCAGGAGACGCTTCTGAGGAATAATCGGCATTACTCGTAGAACTAAATAGATTCCAAATATAAACAAAATAAGTAGCATGTGTTCTTCTGAGAAAACCTAAGCCGTGACACCATCTAAACAGAGACATTCTCAACTTTGTCGTGTGACTGGTGTTCCCAGCCGAGGAAGAAGACAGACTCAAGTCTCAAGCAAGCAGACACTCACCACGTGGCCAACATTTCTAATTCTGTACCAGCATCTCCTAGAAGACTGAAAACTGCTCAGTAGAAATGGACATCCCCATTAGAGTGGAACACAAAATTTTGGGGAATGGCAGCAGGAAGTAACGTTCTTTCCAGATCTGTTTCCTGTTCTCATACCTTGCCCAGCACTAGCCACAGGCAGCAGTATTCATGATAACGATGACTACTATCTGTTAAACACTTACCATATGCTATCTACTGGCCTCAGTGAGGGGCAAGTATTAATCTACCTCTCCTATTTTTGCGTGTCTTGCAAGAAGAGGCATTTCCTGTCATTGCTGCTGGCTCTCCTCAAGGACATATAAATTTATCACATGACCCAGCAGTCCTTCTCCTAAGCCTAACCCAAGAGAAACAAACAAATGCTCATACAAAACCCGAGTATAAGTCAAATTTGTTTCTGTCTAGACTAATAAAGATAAGGCTTTCCTGTAAAGCAATGGTCAAGTTTGCTCAGTGCCTTCCTAACAAGTTGGGTCCTCTATGCTCAGGGGTTTTTCCTATAGCAGGGCACACTGCTTGAAGAGTTAACCATTGACCTTATTTGCCTTCCTTGTATCACACTGTGGAATCAGGAGAATGGCCACGGATGCTGACATTCTTGGCACTACTGCCCCTGCAGAAACCTATCCTCTGCTCTGACTCAGGTGTCTCATGTCTTTTTGTCATAATCCATGACTAACTTCTTAACTTGCAAGTAGGATAAAACACCAGACTCTTACGTTCCAGACATAAGACCTATACTACAGAGGCATGGTTAATAATTATAACAAGCCCATAAGGTGTGGGGGTTGGAAATGAGGAACTTGAGATTCAAGGAGCTGAAGAAATGTGTAAAGGACACACAGTCTGTGCCAACAGAGGATCTTCACAGGGGATTGCCTGGGGTTTAGTTCTGACTCCTGAAAACAGCTTCTGTAAGTGGAGCACAGGTTAGCAGCACCTGCGATGATTTTAGTTGACTTTAATCCCCAGCACAATGTGCTCAAGGTGGAGACTAGTGGGAGATGATTAGAACCTAGGGGCCTCATCCTCCTAAATGAATTGGTGCAGTTACCCTTGGAGTTCAGCCCTATAATCCTGAACATAAAAGTTAACAGGGAGGTATGATGTCATGACTTAAGATAACAGCTCTATTTAAGTGGCTGTTCACATGATCACAGTTTCATGGGAAAAAGTGAAAAAACAAAGCAAAACAAAACCTCAGATTGCCTTTCCTTAATTGGTTTTCTTGTGTTGCAACACACCACCAGAGACCGAGTAATTTGCCATGAGCAAGTTTGCTTTGCTTATGGTTCTGGAGCCTGGGCAGTCCAAGAGTGTGGAAGCCCTATCTATTAGTACCTTATCCTATACTGAAAGAAGTGAGCATATGGGTTAAAAGTGGTGATATGCCTGTGATCCCAGCTTTCGGGTACCAGAGGCAGGGGAATTGAAAGTTCAAGTCCATCATAAACTATATAATTAGTTCAAGGCCAGCCCCTGAGATACACAATGAGACCTAGTCTTAAAAATAAATATGTAATTGTTATTATAATGTTATAATTGTGGTTATTATGAAGTGTGCCTATTGTACTGAAAAGAGTCAGAAATGGAAGTTCAAGAATAATGTGTGATTTATTTTTAGTGGATGAGAAGAGTCAATGTTATAGCTGGTATTCTAGAAAAACTAAAAATATGTGTATGTATTTATGTGTATTAACATATGTTAATATGTACATGTGTTTATATATTTGAGGTTAAACACATCGTATATTGGTTAAAGACTTCATTAAATGAAACAATTAAAAATTAACAAACTTCAAGATGAACCTAAAATGATATAAAATGATAAGGATACCTAATCATGAGGAGTTAACATGGAATCTTAAAAATACAGAATATTACATAAAAACACAGAATATTAAATAAGAACACAGAATATTAAATAAGAACACAGAATTGTAGCTGGAGAGTTTTCTCTCCAGGTCCCGCCAAGCCCCGGCAGTCCAACAGCCCACTTATAAAATAAACACACAGACGCTTATGTTATTTAAACTGTTTGGCCTAATGGCTCAGGCTTCTTGTAAACTGTTTTTATGTCTTAAATTAACCCATTTCTATAAATCTATACCTTGCCACGTGACTTGTGGCTTACCGTCATCTTCACATGCTGCTTGTCATGGCGGTGGCTGGCAGTGTCTCCCTCCACCTTCCTGTTCTCTCAATTCTCCTCTCTATTAGTCCCGCCTATACTTCCTGCCTGGCTACTGGCCAATCAGTGTCTTATTTATTGACCAATCAGAGCAACAGATTTGACATACAGACCATCCCACAGCACAGAATATTAAATAAGAATGCAGAATGTTAACTAAGAACTCAGAATATTAAATAAGAACACAGAATATTAAATAAGAATGCAGAATGTTAACTAAGAACACAGAATGTTAACTAAGAACACAGAATATTAACTAAGAACTCAGAATATTAAATAAGAACACAGAATATTAAATAAGAATGCAGAATGTTAACTAAGAATACAGAATATTAAATGAGAGCACAGAATGTTAACTGAGAACACAGAATGTTAACTAAGAGCACAGACTGTTAGAACGACCACTGCACACACACTAGAGAAGCAGGTGTGGCAGCCGCTGTCCTGTGTGCACAGCTGCACTTGTTCCTCCCACTCGGCTGTCAGCATCATCTAAGTCACAGCCTTAGTCAGAATATCCACCTTTTTCTTTCAGACTCTGTTCAGAGTGGAACGTGTACTACAGATCTTGATTTGAAGGGGACAGGAATATCTGTTTTAAAAGTAAAACAAGAGCTGGTGAGATGGCCTGCTGACCTGAGCCTCAAACCCATGTAAAGGGGAAGGAGAGAGCTTATTCCACGTGACTGTCCTCTGATCACCACACAGAGCTGTGACATGAGCACATTCATGGGCATCATATTCACATAGACCAGCAATAAATGCATTAAAAGAATACAATTTAAAAAGGAATGTTGTTTTATAGTATATAAAAGCTAAATATATATGAATAGACACTACACAAAATGTAAAAGAAACCATCCCAGAGCTCAGATGCAGGGATGGGGAGAGAGAAAGAAACATATCTTTAAAGCATAGGGGCCTGTAGAATAGGAAGGAGGCACTACGAGCAATGTACATAAAATGTGTGTAAGAAAATGCCATCATCTTGTACAATGAATGTATGTTAAAAATAGTACAAAAGCAAAATACCTTCTTAATGATTTATATTGACTGAACATTGAAATGCTAATATTTCGGATACATTAAATTAAATTATTTATAAATTGAAGAGAAATGTCAAAGCCAAGTGAAGTGGCATATAATCCCAGCATCTGGGAGGTGGAGACCAGAGGATCAGGAGTTCAAAGACAGCCTTCGCTACACAGTGTGCTGGAAGCCTGTTTGAACTAATGAAACCTTGTCTCAAAAAACAAAAGCAAATCCAAGCCAACCCAGCTTGACCTCTCTCTGTGTTAGTGTATCCACTTGTGTTAACCTGGCACCAATCCGCCCAGTTGCAGGGATCTTGTTTTGTGCAGCCTTTACATATGTTTTAAAGACCAAACACAAAAGGCACAGATTAAAGTCAAGCACCTTTAAGGGTCTTGGGTTCTAGAATTTTACAAATGTCTCTGATAAGTTAGGAGTAAAGCTGGCTTTCTTTGGGGCTAGAGAGAGGATGTTATCTTGAATATTGTTATCTTGAATATCTTGATATCCATAGCAAAATACATAAAAGATCATTTTGAAGATGACCAGTTAGTGATATCTGTCCTTTCTGCTTTCCCAACATGCATTTCTCTTCTGATAACAGTACCTTATTTTAGTTCCCCATCCTTGGAGTCTCAGTGGGGGTTTTGATTAGTATGTCTTTTTTATCTCCTAGGCAAAGGATGGACAAACGACCCCCAACTACACTAATAAAGAATTTGGAATTTGAATTCCAAGTAAGTAACATGTCAGTGGAAGTAAATCAGCTCTAGTCCTTTGATCTGAAGGACAAGGCTGTGGGAGACTGTAG